TATATGTTATTTTAGTACGAGGCAGCGACCGAGCACCCGTAAGGCCCTCTAGGGCTCGAGTATACCAGGCTGAATTACTAGGATGATGCTGATCATATAACATATTTATGAAGGGTTAGCTGTAAAGGTGAAGCTAGAGACCAGCCAACTTAGATGCATGGGTATGTCAGTCGCTTGTTTTTAGTTTATCGGTGTAATATAGATGATGTACACCGGGGGAATAAATAGAAGGTGGTTATTTTACACCGAAGCAGCAGCGCAGGCAGAAGCCTAAATGCCAGAACACCGCGGTTGCTATGAGGATCCTAAAGGAACTTTGTTAATCCGATTTTCGACTTCCTAAGGTTAGCAGAACTGGAAAAAACCTTCTCAGGCAGAATGTTTCACAATCTCGACACCGTAGTTACAAAGGAGCGGTCGTACCGGTCAGTTCTCGATGCACGAAAATTAATAGAGTTGGGATGGGAGGCAGAGCATGGCGGATCCCTCTGGCAGGCTCAACGCACGGCGGCATCATAGAGAAGAGCTCTTACGAGCGAAACCCGTTGACTTGGCGATAGATGAGAATAACATCGCCGTAGGGGTGATAGGCTCATGAGACTATGCGTTAGAGAAGTGTCAGCGATCAATTGAACAGCCTTCCTCTGAACAGCGAACAGCACCGAGTATGGAAAATGTAGTCGGGGCGGCAGCACCCCAAACATGTGAGCACTAGTCAAGGCTAGGCCTCGCAGAGTTAGGAGATCATGCGGGAAAAGTACTTTTTAGCCTTAAACAAATAACCTAACTTTTTCTCAGTTTCTGTTGCTAATGACGAATAGAAACAATGTTGGGGCCAAGATCGAGCCGTGGGAAACACCCGCGTCGATACTGTGGGACAAAAAAGAGGAAAGTGTAGCGTAAGCTACGACTGCCTAAAATAAATACATATAGCTATGATAATATGTAACGTCCGTTATCGGAATAGCTCTTGGGAAGAAGATGAGACATCTTTTTTTTCGATTTTAAACCTTCTCACAGCACTGCTTACGTGTCTCGAATGCATCTTCATGCTAAGGCGTAGCCATTTTCTTGAACTAAAATCGCCCTCATTGTTATACGATTTCATCATAAGCTTTTGCTTTTCCATTTCCGTATTATTTTTAATTTCGTATATTTCTATCCTAACCGCGCGATATTTCCTTGGCCGCCCGAACATACTAAAATGTGACTGTGCCGTTTTTCCAGGTCACCACTCCTTACCCCAGCGGGGTGCCATAATGTTGGCTGTGGAATGTTTTTATCGCTTCATCCCCCGTGAGCCACCCGACGGAATTCCTTGCATTTGGCGAGCTTATGGCTATGTAATGACATCACGTTCAATCATCACGATGCGGGTTCGATGCTTCAACTGTTTGAAAAAGGCAAATGTCGCGAAACATCTGTTCTTTTAAACTCATAATATAGTTTTCGTTCATTCAACCACAGATGGTCAACCATAGACAGCTTTTTCGTGCTTTTTGGGAATTCATCAACATGGTCTTGCTCTTAGGTAGGGCAACGATCGACAGCTGAGCAACTATCCTCTATACATGATATAAAGTCTGCACAAAATGCAATCTATTACCAGAATAGATACGACCTCCTTGTTATGATGAGAGGATAGTTGCTCAGCTTTCGTTCGTTGTCCTACCTGAGATCAAGCCTAGATCATGCTGATCAGTTGTAAAAAAGCACGAAACGCCTGTCATGATTAGCCGTTTGTGGTCAGACAGGAGAAAGCTATATTACTCCTTTGTTCAATGACGAGTACCGTATTTCCTATACGACCAGAATAGTCAGCATCTGGCGGTCACAGGAGTGACTGGCCTGTCAAACGAGATATCTTTACAGTTCCAACCGATACGTGCTATACACTCTCGCAATAGTCGATTCTGGTAATAGATGGTACTTTGTGCTGTCTCATTTCGAAAGCTGTGGTTTTGTTTCGATGCCTACCACGATCAACATGCGAAACGGTGAAGATATGGGAACCGAAAGATAAACGTTTTTGGGGTACATAAATGTCTTTCTCGTTTGGTTTTATCGACATTTGCTTTGAATGCGAGTGAAAAGAGCTCCACGATTTTACGTTTTTAAATGTTTATTTTTCAATCTTTACATCATTCTATTCAAACACCTTTCCCAACGGTGAAAACAGTGTTGGCAAGTTTCTTTCGGATTATCTTTAATGCCTGCGACGAATATGTTTTAAAGTCATTGATGGTGCCGAAAAGATTATATTGTGGTTTGGTTATTTCTTACCGGGGTACCGCGACTGCCATAAGGAGGCCAGAGGCCAGAAACACCTTGATAATTTAATTTTTGAATTGCCTAAGGTTAGTAGAATTGGGTAGAACTTCCTAGGGATAAAGGATGGATGTACGAGCTTCGACACAGTTAGGATGGGAAGTCTGGCGGGTGTGTCTGGTAGGCTCATCGCGCGGCTGTATCAAGGAAGTGAGTTCTGGGAAGCAACGCTCGTTGACATAGCGGTAGAAGAGAGCCAGATCGTCAACCGTCCGCCGCGTCGGTGTCGAAGTCCCAAGAGAAGTGTCACCGAACAGCATCCAGCATGGATAATGTAGCCGGGGCAGCAGCACCCCAAACGTGAGCAGTACTCGAGGCTAGGTACTATCTAGGCCTCGTACAGAGTGAGAGGATTATGCTTGGCCATAAACAAGCAGCCTAGCTTCGGAATAGATCGTATAACATAGGAAGTCCATGATATGTAATAGAAACAATGTTGAAGCCAACAGTGAACTCCTGGAAAACAAAGACTTATGTCTACGGCACTGTTTAACTGAACTGAATATTTTCACAGCTGTCTTCTAGATATTTATTTGTTTTAATAACAACTCATCGCAATTAAACCGTTTGTTGGATGCTTATTCATCAGCTGCCGTTTTAATACACTGCCGCTTGTTTCATATCATATTCGTTCGGCCATTTCAAGAACGGTGAAAGCCATCCAGAAAAAGCTGGACTTGCGATATCCGTAAATTGCTGTAAACATTCTTTACAAAATTTCGCAAAGTTATTAACTTCCAACTTTTTCCTTTCAGGATTTTACTGAAGAGACTTTTTAAATTTGGTATTAAAGATGAAAGATTGTAATTTGATTTTTTAACGGGCAGATTTTGGCATTACGAAAGAGTTTAGATACAAATTGGTTCGTAACGTTCGATCGTTTTTCAAAAGGCTATTACACTCACTCGTTTGCTTTCCGTTTATGTGTTTCCAAGACTACACCTATACCGTAAGGATGAATTCTAGAGACTGAAAGCAAACTTATTCAGTTCAGCCTGATTCTACCAGTAGCTGAATAATTCAATCTAAAGCCGTGTCTGTAAACGGCTAAAGTACTGTTGGAGCTGCTTAAATAAAATATGGCGGACAGAAAGGAGTTGATTTGAATTTTGTATTTTCATATTGTAATTAATCATAATGCTTATACGGCTCCATTGATTGACCGAATCAAACCACCTGGGAAAGGCATTCCTGTTCCCTAAATTTTCGCGGTTACAAATGCTGCATGTGCATTGTTTATGGGTCTGAAATGCGAGAAATAGTACTTCGACATCTAAAGGGAACCACGATGATTGTCTTGTTAGGAAATAGTAGTGGTCCTGGGATTTGCTGGTTTTGTGCGGAATCATCTTAAAATAGCAATGATGGCTTTGCACAATCTCAGCATGTTGCAGGACAGTCCAGACTATTGCAGTAACACAGTTTAGGATTGTGAAAAATGGAAAAAATGACATCTGGAAGATAGAAAAAAATACAAAATATGTTGTGAAAGATTTGTCAATTGAGAAAGACTTACAGCGGTGGTTGAAACTTCGTACAATTAACAGAAATCTAAATATATATATATACAGGGTCGCCCATCCATGTGTGGACGGAATATTACTCATAAACAAATACAATTTACGAAAATTTATTAATGGTATGTTATCCATTAGGTTGAGGGCACATTTCTGAAATACCGGGAAGTATACAAGGTGTCCCAATTTTGACCTACATATCAAAGTTGTGATTTTTTAAATAGAATGCGTCAAATTTTATTGCATATTTGGATAAACCACAAACACCAGAAAATTGATACAACATACTATGGGTTTTGGTTATTAGCTACTCAGATATAATAAGGTGTTTTGTCTAGAAAAAAACCCACTTCGGCAGCACCTTAGTCCGCCATTTTGAAATTTGAAGTGCTGAATTTTGTATAAAAAAAACTTACACACCTCAGCTTTTATCTTATTTGTTACTTTTTCGAATATTCATTTTTGCTCATACAGGATTGTCAAAAACGCAAATTGTAGTTTTTCTCAAAAATTTTAAATGCATCACCCTGTATATCTGTGCAAGTTTGGATTCGATTTTTCATAAGATTTTCTTTGATACTGGACACATAAGGGTTTTTACGGCTATTTTTTCGGTTATTAGCACGTCCTTTATGGAAAGGCTTAATTCCCTAAAATATCGCAGCATACTTGGAAACAAATGAATTGTTGATTGGTTACAAACTGTCAAAATTAGCTTTGTGAGCATTATAATAAAAACGTAATTGAAAATGGATTTTTCTAAAGAAGAAATGGTGAATATGGTGTTCGTTTTGGGCGAAGCCCAAAGAAATAGTTTCCTAGCAGCTCGCATTTATAAGCAACGGTACCTAATATGCGACATCCAAGGCCGGGAACATTTTCCGCACTACGAGAACGTTTTGAATCAAGTGGAGCAGTGGAATATAGTAAAAAATGTATATATAATCCAAGTGTCGCCAATGAAGCGAATCATCTGGAGGTTCAATTAAAGTTGCAGGAAAATCCCCGTATCACCTATGCTTGCATCAAGGCCTTCGTCCACAGGATTTCGCAGCTCGAATGGAGTTTAGTAGAATAATGCTAAATATTCTGGTAATAGATGGCACTTGTCCGATCGTATTTGGAAATACCTTATACCTCCGATAGAGGTTACTTTGCTCGGTAGCCGAGTGGTAAGTGCATCGAGCTAGCAATCGGCCGACCCGAGGCTCGCGGGTTCGAATCTCCGCCTAGGAAGTTAATTCCAAACCATAGATGTTGTGTTGTATGTGTTGTCTACAACACGCAACAGATCCGTGCAAGATCAATGTATATCGCATCGCTGGAGCTGGTTTATTCAATAATCAGTTGTCAGTAGATGGCTTGTAGTAGTATAGTGGCTGGTACTACGAGGTCGGCCACTTGGCAAAAAGAGTCTTTTCCTTTAGTCTCCTCGTCTAGTATTCTCCAATTCGTTAGTCATAGGTAAATTAGGTAAAAATGATTATAACCTATAATTGTATATGTCTGATTCTTTATTATTATTCTTTGTTATGATTATTAATAATGAGACTGGCGACTCCTATGTCCTAATGCCAATAAATAAAAATAAAAAATGGTCGGCAAAAAGAAACAAAGGTGACCTAGTTGCCAGGCTTCTTCTCACCATCACTACTACTACTTCTTCTAATTGTTATGATTTGGATCGTTGTACTACCTAATACCAAGAATAGACCACGCTGATGATTGCCAATAAGCATGAAAGAGCTGTGCACGGTTGACTGTGATCGGACGGCCTTCTTTTGGAGAATACGTGGAATACAGGAAAAATTGTACACTACGCCACTGAGCCTTCCATATAGAAAACGGTTTTTCCGCTTCTGCGAGAAGGGCAAATGTAATATTGGAGTGGAGTGACACAGCAATTTTATGTTACGAAGTATCCAGGTAGTTACTGTTATCGGTGGAAATGCCATTACTTTCAATTGGTTGGGTGTAATTCAATTTCAATTTTAAACGCAGAATGCCATACTTCCAAAATTAGGTTGTGAAACAGATATTACATGAACCAATTAGAATCATGAACTAAACAGACAGTAATCGTTAAGCATTGTTACTAGAGAAATGTATGTTCTACAGAATCTTTTTTCCTTTATCCGATATCATGTTTGGTTTCTTAACCATAACAAGATTGTACAAATCAACATATTTGAAAAAACCGAACCGCGATTCTTTTCGTTAAGCACTTTACTTTCAAATTTCTTGTATTTATCTCGAAAAAGAAACAACTTAAGCGAGAACTAAAAATACATGTCTTATATAGGAGGGGTTCTGGGAACCTTAAGAATTGAACAAAATCTATAAATTGGATTTCCCTGTTTTGATAACCAAAAAATGAGGTGAATTGAATAAGGACAAGTTACTTTTGATACCTCAAAAAAAAAAAAAAACGTAACCATTTATATGTGGTTACGTTTTTCGAAATATCCACGAAAGTGAAATCAAACAACCTATGAAATTGCTATTCAACACTAGAGTTCTTGCATCATGTGTCGCAACAACACAGTACACATTAAAAGAGGGAAAGGTTAAAGAACCTAACTGATTATTTCCTTTGTTATACCATGGCCGCTGATTTGACTATTATTATATATATATACATAGGTTAAACCCGCTTTCGTTGAAGGTCAACCTACAAAAAAAATTCATATAATATTCATAGGGTCCACACAACAAAGCACTTGTCTAATGTCTGATCGGCTTGTGAATCAGATAATAGGTTGTGTCAGAACCAGACAAGATAGAATACACTTGATTAATGCTATCAGAGTTATGTGGATATAGTTCCAAGCTGGAACTTTGATTAGACGTTATTTTACACTTTTACTGCTAGTTATGTTTCATATTTCACACAACATAGATTTCCTTGTACATTTGCTTTTAAACCTTAGAAAAACAAATATATCTTTGATAGTGTGTTTCTGTATTAGTCTATCATATTAGACGAAAATACCCCTGGTTTGCGAAGTAACTGTAAAGTCTGGTTTTATTGCTGCAAGTTGTTCAAGGGGGTATTTGCGACTAAAATATGGACGCGTAAAATGGGTACACCGATTTTTGTGGGAAAACTTTTTATTCAACAACAAAGAATGACGTGTTTTTTTGGGATTCAATCGAAGTGTTGGTAGGTACGGAAAAACTCTTCATATAACATTTTTAGATATTTATGAGACCACACGTAAAAAGATAATGACTAATAGCAAAAAAATTATGGCCTAAAACCGAACCAAACTGCAGGTTTTGGCACTTGGTAATGCAACGATGGTTTTTCCCAGATACTTGAAATTCTTCAAATTCGTAGGATTCGTACATAATTGGAGTAGATTAGTCGAGTAGTTTTTAAGAATTTCTAATTGTTTATCCTAAAACACCTGTTTTCCGGTCGTCACTACTAGCTTATTGAGCAATGTATAGGGTTAAGTCAAAGGTCACTTTGTAGCTAAATACACTAGTTTACCTTGCCGATATGAATTGCAAACCATTCCGGAAGATAAATGTTATTTTTATGCAAAAAAGGATGGTTTACGTTTTTTATTCTAAATAAATTGAAACATGTATTTGTGAGTAATTCGCAGCAAAAGATGATAGACACATCCGCTTTGTTTCAAAATATCGTAGCGCATTTGTTCAATTACCCACAAATACGAAATGTTTGAGTTTGTTTAAAAGAAAAAAAGTAACCTTTGTTTTTCGCATAAAAATAATATTTATCTTTCGGAATAGTTTGTAATTCATATCGGCAAGGTAAACACGTGTATTTTGCTATTAAATGCTCTTTGAACGAACTCTGTATAATGCTCAATAAACTAGTAGTGATGGCCGCAAAACAGGTGTTTTAGAATAAACAATTAAAAATTCTCAAAAAACTACTATGGCCAATATACTCCAATTTTGTTGATGTTATTTAGAAGTATGAATCCTACGGACTACATTACCAACAAGTGTCAAAACCTGCATTAACATTTTTGCTATTAGTCGGATCTTTTTACATTTGGTCTCATTTTGTATGTCGCATAAATACCTAAAAATCTTATATGAAAAGTTTTTTCGTTCCTGTCAACACTTTCGATTGAATCCCAATAACACGTTTTCTCATTCTTTGTTGTGAAATAACGTTTTCCCACAGAAATTGGTGTACCCGTTTTATGCGTCCAAGTTTCAAATACCCCCTTGAACAACTTGCACCAATAAAACCAGAGTTTACAATTATATCGGGGAAATTTGATAATATGATTAAACTATATATACCTGCGTTGGGATCTGACTGAAGGGTGGATAGGTAAGGCATGGTAAACATTTATAGATCGCGACGTTGTCAAATGGGTGGGAATTATGGACTTACTGTATTCTTTATACCAAAGCAGCCGCGTAGGCATATACCTAAAAACCAGGTCACCGCAGTTGCTATTAGAAGCTATTAATCCGATTTTTGAACTGTCTAAGGTTAGTAGGTCTGGGTAGATTGTTCCTAGGAACAAGGGGGACTTGATCCATTTAATTTTTTCGTTGTTAACTTTTCTCAGAGGGGAGAACACCCATTATGACCTGATGACAGCGTTGCGTAGGAAGTGCAGAGTCAAACTACTTGATGTCATGTTTTTAGCATAGAGAATAGCAAATTCACAAAACCCAATATTTTTGTTTAAACAGCCCTTTTGCTAATCGATCAGCAGTGGTATGTGTAATATTTTTTGAAAGTATCTAACTAGTTTCCTTGAAGTCGCATGCAGCGATTTTTGCAAGGTTATATTCGTAGCATTTACAATGTAATCAATATAAATTTCCTCACAGTAATACAAATACCAATAGAATTGAAATCCAATCGTCACGAACGACTCTACTTCGTGGCGAACGTGCCACTGGTTTATTTTATAAGCCGCAATCCGGTACTTGCCGCTAAATCGAAATTCTCTGCCACATCAGACCGACAAATTCTAAGCTATAAATGTTGCAAGGACGACTGAATTGCTGAGAACAAGAAGCTAGAAGGAACGTTCTGTTGACCTTTTTATATTTTACCACGTTCGGATAAACTGAGTAGCAATCGAAATAGCAATCTTCACACTCTTGGAAAAACTATGGCTTGACTGCTCTGCACACATGAATCGTAATTACGTACTAAAATTGTTCAATTGACTATTAGGTATTCTACCTGAAGACAGCCAACCATATATTGTATTCTGGCGTCCATAAAAGACATGAAACATACTGCCGCCATCTGTGAGAGAGCAGCCGAACTCAAAAATGAATTTAGAAATCTACCATGAAAAGAGTTAAGATTGAGTTTGGGTCAGCTACTGTCTTAAAGATGAGTTTAGGGTCTTCAATCCCTTTTAGCGCCTTTCTAAGGCCTATGTTAATTGATTGTCTTCAGGTACCGGTTAAGGTATTTCTTATGAAGATGGCCAATTACAATAAGCATTAGAAATGCGCCAACAGACCACTTTGAACGAGTCAAGTTAGCAAACGAAAATTCGGGGGAATGAAATTGATGCATGAATACTACTATACTTTAGCGTACAAGAAGTGATTGAAAATTTCAAGATGGCGGTTGGGCGCTATTTTAGAACTATTTCTTAAATGTAATGGGGAATCAATCGTGTGATACCTCATTTTGAAGCTTCTTTATGACTCTAGGATATAAAAACACAGTCTTTGAAAGTGGCGAACTGGCAGGCTGTTGAAGTTCAGCGTTTTTGTATATTGAACCGCTTATTAACAACTAATTATTGAAAGGTTACAGTATGTTATGGTAATTTTTTTCTTTTAGAAGGGTCTATCTGAATGAGCAATAAAATATGAGACAAACATTTTAAAAAATTTTGACAATTTTTTTAATTGGAATGTTTATTTTATTATTCACAAGAGAAGATTAATATAACATCTTCTGGCGTTTTTATGAATTACTTATTGAGTTATAAGCGACTCAATGTACAGAAACGCTCAGCTTTGATAGCCTGCCAGTCCGTCACTTTAAAAGATGGTGTGTTTATATTCTAGGGTGATAAGAAGTTTCAAAATGAGATATCACGCGAACCCATCCCTTTAAAAAAATGTTCCAAAATGGCGTCCAGTCCCCATCTTGAAATTTTCAACTGGCACTTTCAAACTAAAATGCATCAATTTCATTATCCCAAATTTTAGGCTGACCCATCAAAAAAATAAGCAGTGGTGGGAGTTCCTTTTCGAAAAGCATTG